AAAGTGTGCTGGCAATGGCCACCGGCACCATCATCCTCGTCGTCACCATCATCAATGTCATCTTCTTCATCAGTGTCACCATCGTCGTCATAAGCCATGCTGTGTACGCATCACAATTCCGGACAGTGCATCAATATTCATTCTGGACTCATAATGAAGTGGTGGTGTCTCAAGGGGATTACTGCAAGCGACGTCGGCGGCCCGAGGATGGTGCGCTTGACAAAGACCGGTACCTTGTTTGGGACCGGCTCTTTTCGATCGAGGAGTGCTCGGCGGCCAGAGTCCCGAGTCCCAAGCTCTGTCTCCCGAAAGCATTCCCCAGGCAACTGCGTGAGTTCGAGCTGGAAGAGCAGCCTTTCCCTTTGAACCAAACAAACAATCAGGCGAAGTTGAAGGCCTTGAGCGCTATCTGAAGCACTTCTGAAGCTCAGGGCTTCTGAGCTTCTGCAAAGTTTCACAGAGCTGTGGCCAGGACGGGGCATCTGCAGCCAGATTCTGTCAGGACCGAAAGCCACAGAACATGATCTTGCAAGCCAACAGCTAGGGTTCTGAAATCTCAGCCCTAACGCCCCTCATCCTTCAAATCTGCAATGCTCTAAGTTAGGCCCTGACTCGCGAACCAGCCTTGCTCCTAAATCACCCGCAACTCACGAGGTAAGGGGAGCCAGGCGGGCGTTGGCTCAATTCAGACTCAGACTGTGGTTGTCCTCCCATGGGAAGGCAGATCGCTGCCATGGAGAGCTTGGAACACCACATAATACGAGTCGCGTGAAGATGCGTGTCATGCGGACATGCGAATACATAGGTACCCAGTCCAGCGACAGCATACGAGATTCAACAGATTCAGCAGATCAGACATTTCGAACTGCTTGCTTGAGATTGCTCCCACGCAAGCCCCTAGCCACGAGCCGTTGATCTTGCCGGAGGAACATCTGAACAGTGGCTTCTTTGACGACATCAGCCCTGAAACTGCCGAGCAGAGCAGCGAGGCAAGCTTGCAGCGGCTTTGCATTTCATCATGCTCATGGAGGTTGACCCAGCGCTGCAGGCACCCTGAACCGCCGATTTAGCCTTCGCATTCCAGTGGCTAGGAAGGCCTCAGTTAAAGTTCTCGGAATTAAGGATGAGTTTAGGCTTGCTAGCGGACCGATTGTTCGCAACTGGGAAGGTGCACTCCAAAGCCTATCCTCGCGTGCTTCGTCTCACTGTTACTTTTGCCTTGCACGATCCATAACTGCATGTCATTCACCCTTACTGTTCTTGCGAACAGTCCCACAAACTCCTGACTTACCGGACAAGACTTAAACTGTCGAAGGAGCTGCAAGAAATGCTCCGCAGCTTCTTCAGTAGCATCGCTGGCGGCAGCCGCATCCTCAGAAATCCTTTGCAAAGGTTCCTTGCAGGGCTTGGAGAGTATCGGGCGGCTCACTACGGTTCTCTACGAACATACAAGGCGAGAACCGGCGTTTTTTTTCTACTGAATCCACCCTTTAAAGCCTTCAGCACTAAAAGCTTCGCTTCTTCGCTTCTGGCACGAGCTAATGTATTTTAAATTAAGATACGAAGACGTTCTCTTGTCATTCGGGGCGCTCCGCAGCCAGCTGTCAACCCAAGATGTCTGCAAGCTTTGAAGTTCCTCCGAGTTTGGGACGTTTTGGTAAGGCGCTTTGCGGCAGTCGGCGTCGTTCCTGCCGTCTCGGCTAGCTCTTCAGCATCCTATCGCATGAACCGCGAACACGCAGGTTCCTCGTCAAGACCAAGGCAGAGGTCAAATTATTTGGAGGAGCCCGAGCAGGTCGACGCAAGAGTTTCAGCAGTAAGTCTAGGGCGTCTAGGCTAAGTCTGCGCAGGGAGCCTGGGGTTCGGGGTCTCCGGGATCCAAGGGCACGCAATTTTCAATAATTGAAAACTCCAATTATTGGAGTTTTCTCGGATCGTGTAAATTTGTGGACGTTTCGAAGATGCGCGATAGCTTGATGATCATGCAAATGACGACAATGGTTTGTAGGCTGCACGCAAGCAGGTGCCTTCCAGCCTCCCTTCCTCCTTCACGTGCGAGCCTTGTTGTTCGTAGAGCATTGGAGATCTGCATGACGAAGGCACGAAACCCTGCTTGTTCGGCGCTGTCACAAAGGGGTTCCTGGGAGGCGGCCTTGTCAAGTTTCGGTCGCATCGCTTCTGATCTGACCCTTGATTTGCACTGCATCCGAGTTCACAGCTGTGCCGAGGCCGTTTTCGGGCAAAGCACACCGTTTGGACGCCGATGAAGAAGTGCAGGTGGACCTCGCGTTTTGAAGTACGCGTTTTGAAGTGATTGTGAGATACGTGTCGTACTACATGGGTTTGCGCGCGGCCGCACGGCCTGCCTGGGTGGGAAGATAACAGCAGGAGAGCTCACGTCAGCGCGGCAACAGGACCTCCGCCAAAAGACAACGCATCATAAGTAAAGAAGTACGGTCAAGATTGCCGGAGTCCGTCTCACATCGAGCAGGCTCCTATCGGTGTTTTGTGGCAAGCAACCTTGACACAGCCTCCAAGAACTTGCGTATTAGTCTATACACCCACAGTGAAGAACGACTGTAGATATGCACAGGTTTCGGCAAAGAAGCTGGCATTCAGGCTCTCTGCCACAAATCCGTGCGTAACATCTGCACATCCACATCTTGCCTGACTAATGAAGGTCTCGTGGACCACAGCCTCTAGCCGCATAAGAGAGGCACCGGCACCCGACGATGGCCAGAAGTCCTGGGCATGTGCCCCAGTCTGCCGTAGTTCCCAGTGGCGGGGTTGCAGCATCGGGTTCTGCGCTCAAAAGTACTACATAGGACAAAGCGTGGAGGGTCCGAAGCAATGCAACTTGTTTAAAATTTCGGCCTGGTGCATTGTGGTTGTTTGAAGAAGCCGGAAGGCTTGTTGGGATTCGAAGATCTCCAATCCAACAAGCAAGCATGTACATATGCGTATATACTTATATATATACACACATACATATATATATATATATATATATGCATCTAGGTATGCGCAGACGTGATTGGTTCACAATTAGGCATATAACTTACGTATCGGCTTGCCTGTCCGACCGTTTGTCCGTACTACCCTGTTATCCTATGCGTCCTGTGCTATCCCATCTGTCAGCGTTCAAACTTCAAACTCACAATGTAAGCATGACGTGCGCGTATGTGCTCATTATCCATATTGTATGCGTGTTTGTATACATTCATCTATCTACCGATCTACCTATCTGCCTATCTACCTATCTGCCTATTTATCCTTCTATCTATCCATCCATCCATCCATCTAGCTATCTAAATGCACAGAACGCGCGAGTGTGTGTGTGTGTGTGTGTGTGTGTGTGTGTGTGTGGGTGGGTGCGCGCGCGCGTGTGTGCGTGCGTGTGCGTGTGCGTGTGCGTGTGCGCGTGTGTGTGTGTGTGTGTGTGTGTGTGTGTGTGTGTGTGTGTGTGTGTGTGTGTGTGTGTGTGGGTGGGTGTGTGTGTGCGTGTGTGTGTGTGCGTGCGTGCGTGCGTGCGCGTGCTTCTGTATGTATGTATGCATGCATGCATGTATGCATGATGCATATCACATATATACATGTGTACCTTTATATACACATGTGTGTTTACTTAGGTTTCGTTCGTTGATGTGATTTTCAAAGCACGGAGTGAGGCAAGGACTTCGGGTTCGTTATGTCCACGCTAGTTTCAGATAGGACACAGTCATTCGGATTCGTCTAGTTGTGTCACGCAGGACGGGAGAAGACAATGCAATACAACAGTACGATACAGCAAGATGTGGCAGCTAGGAGATGGCACAGCATACTGTTTGTGTCAATTTTGCTGTGCAAGCGTTCATGCGTGGTCATGTGATGTAGAAATAGGTAACGCGCAGCTAGGCTTGCAGGACCAGCTTCCGCGATTCGAGTCTCGCCCTCCCTCTGCCCTTGGAGCAAGCAGCGCCAGGAACTGTACAGCCGCTAGCAAAATGTATGTTCATGATGCTCCGAGGTTTCTACATATGCATGCATGCATAGAGTGTTGACTTGCAGAGACAAGGCATTGACGTTTACTTCAAACCTCGAGCTGGCGAGATCCAGCCGCAGGAGGACGAAGTGCGCTGACGGCTTTGGGCTTGCAACTTACAACAGCTGTAAGTCTAGCATGTTGTACGTACTGTGACAGTTCACTAAATCATCAACGCAAGCAAAGAGCAAAGGTGCTGGGTCATACGTCGACATCAGCTGAAGACCAGAAAACGACGCAAAACTCAGCCATGTATTGTGATTTGTCTTTTCCTACTCATATACTCATATGTCCTGTATGTATATATGTATGTATGTATGTATGTAGGTATGTATGTGTACCTGTATGTATGTACGTACGTACGTATGTATTGTACTTATGTACGTATGTATGTACGTGTGTGTATATGTATGTGTATATGTATGTATGTATGTCTTTATGTATGTCTGTGTAATATATATATATATATATATATATATGTTCACAGCAAACATACATAAACGCCTTCACAGACGCACACACATACTTACATTCGGGTTTCGATCCATCTATACACGTGCATGCATGCGTGCATGCATGCATCCATGCATACGTGCATACATGGATATACCCATGCATACATGCATGCATGCATGCCATGACTTGGAACGACAAGATTCTTGCCAGATACAGCAAGCACGCTGCAATAGTTCTTTTCACCGGCATTCATATTATATGTATATATATATATAGGGTATCGGATCGAGCTCTGTAGTGAGCATTGCTGATTGCCCCACGTGCCGAGTGCACGCATCAAGCCATTGCGCGGCACGTTTCTTCGCCGCCCTGGCACCGGCAGCTTCGCTCTCGGCGAGCGAAGGCCCGCAGTCGCATCTCTGCGGCAAGAGCTCGAGGGCAACGACCGGCCCGAGTTGACCTCCTGCGACTACACCGACATCACAGTCGGCCTGCCTACCGAGAGCTCTTTGACCCTGTCTTCATGGGCAAGAAGGCGCAATGGAGCGCAGAGGAATGGGAGGCCTGGCGGTCCTCATCGTACTATGGTGGCTGGCAAAGGCCCAAGGGCAAAGCCAAGGAAGGAAAGGGTGGCCAGGCACCCAAAGGTCGCGAGATGGCCAAGGACAAGAAATCGGCCTTCCCTTCGTTCGAGGCTATGGACCCGGCTGGCATGACCCAGCGCAATGCCAGGCCCAAGGATGCGATGGAAGTGGACGAGGAACCGCCCGCCAGCGGACAGGTAGCCAGAGGCATGCAGAAGGTTTTGAACAACCTTCGACGTGCAGAGGTCAAATCCCGACGACTGGAGGAGGATCGGACCGAGCTCCAGCAGAAGCGGGAGACCTACCGCCGCGAGCTGCAGCAGGGCTTCATCCGGGAGAAGCACAAGTTTCAGGAGCGCTTGGCCAAGATCTCGGCGGAACTCGCGGAGGCGGAACAGAACCAGGAGGACGCGTTGCTCGAGTTGCAGGCGGTCATGATCGAACCTCAGGCGGCCCTTCGACCCAAGCCAGAGCAAGCGGAGGATCCGGAGATGATGGCGGAGCTGGAACAGCTGCTGCAGTCGCCGGAGAAGCAGCCGAGGCGCGGTCTGGCGGACCTCCTGGCGGGTGCCCTGCAGAGCAGTTCTGGCAGTCGCGACGACAAGCGCAAGCTCCTGCAGGTCGCGATCGAGGAGTACCGCAGACAAGGCGCTCCCGCGACGCCGCCCAGGCGTCGGACGAGGGAGCCACCTGGCACGCCACCCGACCTCAAGATGAGCGAGCCGCCATCTGGAGCCAGGGCCTCTGGCGATGGCACCTACAGCGGTGGTGGGGACCTGTCGAGCAAGCCCGAGCCCTATCATGCCTCCCCTTCTGTGACTGCCAGGCCATGTGTCGAAGGAGTGCCAAGGATCAAGTCCCGCCCTGGGACTCGGATTCCGGTGAAACAGGTGGGCCGGGAGCCTTCAAAGCCGAAAACGGGCCCTACTCTCTCGGAGAAGCTCGAGGCGCGGCGCGAGGAGCTGGTGGTGATGGTGGAGTAGTCGGCAACGATGACGGCTGTATGGCGATGACCTGCAGCCGTTCTTTGGCCACAAGGCTCCAAGTTTTGATTGGTCCGGCAGGCTATGGCATGGCTGACTTTTTCGGTTCGTTCAGCCCCTGCCCAAAGTATGAGGGTGTGAAACAGCCGGGTGTTCTTGGCTTACGAGACACTGGCGGCTGTCAACACCAGCGACGACCTTTTACAGAGCCCATACGACCTCTTTCGTGGGCCGCTGATCTCTTCAAGCCACAGGGTGATGTTGGCTTTGGTGCAGCCCACTCTCGGGAAGGCTGTGTTGCTCTTTTACCTGTTGCAGGATGTGAACATTGCTGCCCTCATCCTGGTGCTCCTGCTGACCACTGTCTACTGGACGGCCAGGACAGACGCTTCAAGGTCATTTGGCGGTACGGCCCTGTGGGAGGCCATGTCCGGCCAAGCAAGGATGAGGACATAGTCAGAGATCTGAGCCCTGGGGCAGCCTACCATGGAGAGAGCTGCTCTGCTTTGCTAGTAGGTGCAGATCATGAATGTTGCTGCGCCCATCCTGGTGATCCTGCTGGCCCCCGGCTACTTGGCGACCAGGACCTACATGTCCCGGTGAATTGGCGGCACGGCCCTACGGGAGGCCACGTCCGACCGAACCAAAACGAGGAACTCCACATGCACGGCATGATGTTCAGCGAATATGCAGCAGTTCGTTGCATGGGATGGCTTATTGGCCTTGAGATGGTACAGTTTGTTGCCCTCTTGAGCATGCTCTATGTGGTGATTGGCGGCAAGAGGCAGCAAGCGAGGAGAGCCCGGCATGCTGATGTCCTGGGACACCCCAAAATCCTGCTTGCCTATGCGGTTCTCTCCGGGAACTATGTTGCACAGGCATTCGCTCATCCGCCTCCCCTACAGCGATGTGAGTTACCAGCTGCCCATACTGCCCTCGGAGTGCCGCGGCAGACCGACCTCGAGCTGTGGGCTTCGGGACAGCTCACTGCCAGAGAACACATGCTGCGGGCCTACGAGGAGGTGATTTGGAATGCCCCTTTGGGGCACTCTGAGGGTGAAGTGGCGCCGCCAAACCTGCTTGCTACTACGGTTTCGGAGCAACTGGGACCGGCCCCGCTTTCAGACGAGGACCGACGAGCGGTACACATTACGATTTGGGTTGCATCCCCGTTCTTTGAGACGGTGATCGTTGACCTTGGCATCGCCTTCCCGATCCTGTCGGAGCAGCGATTCTGAGATGCTGTTCGGAGTACCTGTACCGATCTCCCAGATTATGCGGAAACTATCCTGCCCACGATCCCTCAGGTTGGATCGCACTACGGCAGTTGCCTTGCGGTACCGGCATGGATCCAGGCTGCGAATAAGTTTGCGATGGTGCTGGATAGCCGGGGTGTGGGAGGCGAACTCTTCGCTTTCTACCATGATGGCCCGGTCACGCGGGAGGCCATCATGAAGCAGCTGCCGGAGGATGACAATGAGATTGACCTCTATCTCTTTGGCAGTATGGTTCCCTTAGCAGCTGACGCCTCTCAGGACCCCATACAAGGTGGAGTGGTCAAGGCCTACTACACGGGAGATCATTGCACATGGGAAAGCCCGCTCCAGGACCGACTCACTGACCCGACACAGTGGAACCCGCGACTGAATCCGCCGAGTACCAGCAGTGACCCTTACGTCGTCTACCAGAGCCCGGACGACCAGCTTGTGTACTATGACCTCCCTGATGCGGATGCTCACCGGCAACAATTGGCTGAGCAGCTTATGGCCTACCGCCCAGGGCAGTGCTGGACGAAAGAGCCACAGAGGACTGCTGATGCTCTCACGCATGCCGGCCGTGCTATACGGAAACAGATCGCGGTGATTCCAGGCCCACAGAGCACGCCCGAGGATGACCCGGACACCACGGTCCTCTTCGTGGACCTACGAGGCCTGGCATTGTTCCCCCAGTGGATGTTGCTCCCGGGCCAGCTCTTCAACTCCACCGACTACTTGGCTGACCTCCCTGTCCCGGTTGTTGACGGCTGGACGGTCGTCGTTGAAGGTGGAGCGCGGACGGAGCATGCGGAACTACTACGTGTCGCAAATGGGGAGATGTTGAACATCTTCCTGCAAGAGACTGACCAGCTCACGGCGTCTCAAGCAGATGAACAGAGTGAAGGTCCGGGCTCTGGCCCAGACGATGACGAAGGGGACAGCTCTGACCCCTTCGATGCCCTCCCTCACTCTAGTGACCTCTCTACACCATCTCCTCCGCGAGGCCCGCCGCCGTACGGACCACCAAGGCCTGAGCCGGTGAATCGCAGTCGCTCCCCGAGACGACGGTGTGCCTCGGACACGGCGGTGACATCAGCCACCTCGCTGTGTCTACAAGGCCTTTTACCGCCCCCCGTTGTGGAACTCGATGTCCATCAAGTACAGCTACCCCATGGAGCAGCAGACGTCAATCACATGTTTCGGCCGTGGGCGCCGGACTGGATATATACGGTGCTCCCGACTACGGTGCCCGCTGAAACGGAAATGGCACTGTCTCAGCTGAGGCATTGGAGCGACCTTCTCTGTGGGCCTACCTCTGCCGAGCCGCCTGCGATCCATATCTATGTCGATGGGTCCTGGCATGAGCAGCGGAAGGTAGGTGGATATGCTGTTGCGATCTTCTTGGTGACAGCGGGTTCCGCCGCGCTGTTTGGACTGCTCGGTGAACAACTTCAAGGGAACCCCCAAAGTCCCTGGACATTCGATGCCGCACCGGCCCTGAAGGCTGAACAAACGGCGCTGATGACGGCGATGCTGTGGTGCTTACAAAGCCGAGCCTTCCTGATCCCGGCTGCATATTGCATCTTCTACGACTGCAAAGTTGCCGGATGTGGTGCTACGGGGCTGTGGGATGCTGGTGCAGGGCTTGGACTACAGAACCGCGCCCTGGCGCAATTCTTGCGTGATGCCCTGAGCACCCCAATCTCCATTGAGCACGTTCGCGCGCACAACGGCGACCCCTACAATGGCCTTGTCGATGCCCTGGCGAAGGCGGTTGCCAAACAGAGCGCTATGCTCGCAGCCCCGCCGGCCGAGATTTGCGAGTTGGTGCAGCATGTGGACTTCTCTTGGCTCCCGTTGGAAGCCCAGGATACTACGCGCGAGATCTACCCGCTTGTGACGGGACAATGCCTTCGCTGGAGTGAGGAGGTGGCTTTCACTGCCCCCCATATCTGGCCGGACCAGCTGATCCCTACCACGGGCGATGCGAGTGAACTGCATGCAACTACGCTCGGCAGTTTCTCGACCAAGCTTCTCACCCTCAATGCGCAGACGCTGACAGGACGCCACAAGTACTACGAGAAGCAACTCGTCGACCTCTCCATGCTTCCAGGAGGCCCGGGGGGCAGCAGGACTCACTGAGAGCAAAGCCTTCATGCGCATCTCTAGCGCTTCCGAGTCCCACTGGGGGGTCTCGATCTGGCTCAACAAGAGCCTTGGCTTTCTGACCCGGGATGGCTCCAAGGTCCCTGCGCGAGAAGAGGACATCCGGATCATTGTCGAACAACCACGCCTTCTTGTTGCGGTCATCGACATTGGTGGCCCAAAGGTTGTGGTCTTTGCTGCCCACTGCCCTGATGGCTCCAAAGGTGCTGCAGCCGACGATTTCCTTGAGAACCTTGCGGGAGTCTTGCGGCCCTACAAACGCTCCTGCTTGGTGCTGGGGGGTATTGACCTGAATGGCCGTCTCCCTGGCGAATGTGAGGGCCATACTGGCGATCTCGCTTTTGGCCAGGAGGATGCAAATGGAGCTGCGATGCTCCGTCATGCATGCGAGTTGGGCCTTTGGTTTCCGTCTACCTACCGGCACCTCCACACGGGGTCATCGGCCACGTTTCGACATGTGCAAGGATCCTTGCACAGAATCGACTTCACCGTCGTTGGTGGCCTTGCAGAAGTCTGGGCGGCCCACAGCTACGTGGATGAGCATTTCGACACTCTCAACCCTAATGACGATCACCTGCCTGCGATCGCTGAGCTACAGGGATCATTGGGGGAAAGCTGTGGTCGGCGCCGTGTCTGGCGGCCACGGTTTGACACAGAGAAGATGCTCACCACTGCTGGTAAGCAGATTATTGCTGAAGAACTGGAGCGATACTCTCCGCCCCGATGGCACGTCCACCCTGACCAACATTGTCAGCACCTGCAGGACTTCCTTCTTGGTGTCATGCAGAAACACTTTCGTCGTGATGAACATGGCCCCCGCGCAGCCTATCTCTCCCCGGAAATCTGGGCGCTTCGTGGCGCAAAGGTTGCGCATAAGTTGCGTACGCGCTACCGGGCAGGCCTTTGGAGCGCCATTCTCTGCCGAGCCTTCCTTCAATGGATATGCGAGGAGAATTATTATGGCGTGCAGGAGCTGACCAAGAAGTACGGCCTCCTCTATGAGCTCTCTGCTGCGGCGGTCAGCTTTGCCACTGGCCGTATCAAGCGTGGCATCCGAGAGGACAAGGCGAAGTTCCTCAGTGTGGTGGCTAAGGATGGCACTGCCAAAGCGGAAGAGGTGCTCGGGATTGCCAAGAAGGCTGGAGTAGGTGGACGTCAAGCCCGCCCCTTCCACAGACCACTGCCAGCCCTCCTACGGCCCGATGGTCAGCTCTGCAGCTCTCGAGCTGACAGAGATGAGACGTGGCTACAGCAATTCAGTGCCCAGGAATGCGGTGTTGTTCAACTGACGGAGGACTATCTCGCGGGACGAGATCGCCAAATCACGATTGACTGTGATCTGGGATGGTCGCTTGGGGAGCTACCGTCCTACTTCGAAGTCGAGCAGGCCTTCCGGTGCGCACCGGCACGAAAATCCTGTGGGCTTGATTGTTTGCCAGGCGAATTACTCCGAGCTGACCCTGCTGGCATCACCAAAGCGGCTTTCCCGCTGTTTCTGAAAGCGACTGTCTCCTTGCGACAGCCGATTCAGTGGCGAGGTGGACTCCTGCGGGAGTCCTGGAAAAGAAAGGGCACTGTCCGCGAGCCGGCGAACTACAGATCTTTATTTGTATCGTCCATGCTCGGCAAGGTGTTCCACAAGGTGCTACGCTCTCGGGCTACCCAACATGCGGCCGATATGTTGCTTAGCTTTCAGATGGGAGCACGGAAGCAGGCACCAGTCACCCTCCCGGCGCTCTTCGTCCAGTCCATTCTTCGACGGGGTCACCAAGACAACATCTCGACTGGCGTGTTGTTCCTGGATGTCCAATCGGCATACTATACCGTCATTCGCGAAATGTCGGTTGGCTTGATCGAGGACGACGAGACGGTCGCTAAGGTCTTCAAGTACTTCGGTCTCTCGCCAGATGACCTCGGAGAGTTTTGGGATGACATCCACCGTGGTGGGATTATGGGGCAGTCCACATTGCCGAGCTCCCTCCGACACCTCGCCAAAGACTTGATGCACAAGTCATGGTTCATCACAGGCTACGGAACCTCCGAGCGCCTGTGTGTGACACAAGCGGGCTCTCGTCCAGGCGAGGCCTGGGCTGACCTTGTCTTTGCTTTCGTCCTGGGCAAGATTCTGTGCCGCATCCGAGAAGCAGCTGCTGGCGAGGGTTTGCTACAAGTCCTACAAGCGGATGTTGAGAGCGGGCCTTTTGCTATGCCAGGTGATGGGACAGACGTGCAAGCCCTCGAATGTGCGTGGGCTGACGATGCAGCTTTCCCTACGGCTGCAAGGGACCCAGAGGCTTTGCTCCGCAGGATGAAGCGACTGTGCTCGGTGGTGCTGTACGAATGCGCTCGACACGGATTACAGCCGAATCTGCGCCCGGGTAAGACGGCAGCTCTGCTAGCCATCCGTGGGCCGGGAAAGGCCCGACAGCGATGGTTCCCTCATGGATGCAGTGCCCTGCGACTTGAGGACCTTGGGCTGGAGGTACCCATTGTTGGCTCCTATGTGCATCTGGGAGGATTGGTGGATGCAGCCATGTCTGGAAAAGGCGAAGTCCGTCGCAGACTTGCCATTGCACAGACGGCCTTTGACGAGGGTAAACGACTGCTCTACACCAACGTCACCATCCCCCTCCAGGTGCGATCCAACATTTTCCAGCTTTCCGTTGGGGCCACCTTCTTCAATTTGGGCCTATGGGTGCCACATGGGCCGCAATGGCAAAAGATGGTGGGCGGCTTCACACGAATCCTCCGTGGCCTCCTTACAAAGCATTTCAAGGGCGACCTCCTCTACTACGTGGCGGCCCCGGCAGTGCACATCCTGACAGGTTGTATGCCCCTGGACATGTTTGCCCGCCGATCAAGACTCAGTCTCCTGGCGTCGCTGTGCAAGGCGGCCCCTATGGAGCTGTGGGCGGCCCTACAGACGGAGCAAGCCTGGCTTGAGGCGGTCCGGGGAGACCTGCGATGGCTGTGCGAAGGTGACCTACAAGGCCCGACGGCTGACGTGGCCGGTTGGCCAGAGCTCTACGCGCTCTTCGCGAAGCGCACGAGCTGGGTCAAAAACAGGGTGCGCCGACTACTTGCGCGGGACTTTGAGACCTTCAAGGACGAGCAGTTTGTCAACTTGCAGTTGTGGGCGCTTCACCGCCGTCTGCTTCGCCGCCGGCCAGGGCCGACAGAGCCTTGTGACTGGCGTTGCCGGCCGTGTGGTCGAACGGTCCGTACGCGGGCGGCGCTTGGGGCACACTTCTTCAAGACGCATGGCCGACAGGCCAAACACCGCCCTTATGTCGAGGGTACGATTTGCAGAGCATGCGGGCGCCAATACTGGTCTACCGTCAAGCTCGCAACTCACCTGAGGGATCACCCTAGCCTAGCTGTGTTGCTACTTTGGATGGCCACGGTATGCAGTCCAGCGTGAACGCGCCTGGCCGAGGCAGTCGTGCATGGCGTAAGATCGAGGAGGAGACATGCCACTTGGCCGTGCCGGCGCCTGCACTTGACCCTCTACCTCCTGGTCGCCCGGCACGCTGGGACGCGACCCTCAAGGATGCGCATCGGGCCCTCTGCGACGCGCTTTTGGTGAGCACGCTCCCTGGCGACCGCTCGGCGATCACCGATGTTGTTACGCGCACCCTTGGCTACCACCCGCTCTTCCCGGACGAGGAGGTTGAGATCGCGGCCTACACGAGCGAAGAGCTTCGAGGTCTGACTCCGAGCGACCTCGAGGACTACTGGCCGGCTGAGGTGCATGCTGTTCTGATCGATGCATTGGCCACGTACAGACCAGGCGATGCTACAGATGGCGAAGTCCATTTTCGTGAACAGCACTCTGATTCCCTGCAGGCTTTCTGTTCCAGGCTGAGTGACTTCAACTGGAACGAAGCCCTGGGTGTTGCCGAAGGCCCTCACGAGACCCCAGAAGGTGCTTTGTACAAACTGTGCAGCCGGGACGTTGCTTTAAACTGCAACAGTGAAGCACTAACTGTAGCAACCGTGAGTGAGTCCTTTTGGCCTCTGATTCCAACGGTGCTTAGAGAAGCATGGGATGCTGCGATCGATGGCAAAGCCGTGAGGATCCATGCCCCGAAATGCTTCTGGGAACACCGCCTGTCCCTCCCCTTTAGGGCCATGAGGGACGAGACTGCACTATAATTAAGCTGCGTACGGACCTCTGAAAGCCCGCAAAAAAAATAATATATATATATATATATATATGTATGTATACACACATATATATATATACTTATGTACACAGCCACATATGACTGGTTCTGAGACAGTGTATGTTGTTTGTTTCACAGCATGCCTGTTAAGCTGCTTATGGCACCAAATCATATCTAGGCCAACTATGTACACAATCTTGCCACGGGTCATCTCATATAACGTCGGATCGGTCTTCAGGCCCTACTGCTTCGCAGGAGCCGCGAAGAAGCGAAGAGGACAGGATTTTATTTTGCAGCAGCTGGTGGGGGCAATGTGGGGTTGGTGTTAGTGACAGTGTGCTCTCAGCTCGGTGAACCCACAATCACGACTGCGATTTACTAAAGGTCTCCTCAGGAGACCCTTTAGTTGACGTCCTTGCCTTACCTCCAGGCAGTGCAGGTCTGCACCCATCAATAAGTTTGCTTGAACGAGTGAGTTGCTAAAGCTTCAGCTCGCTTTGGCTGCCACAGCAGTCTTTTGGATGTGACTCGCCGAGCAGGACCTACCACTGGACCTTCAGTGGCCAAGCCGTGAAGGAGACAAAAACTGGCACGGAGAGCTACTCTCAAGGCGGGGCGCCCGGAGCCCGAAGCGTGCGACATGTGGAAGCTGCAGGAGCGCTGTGTTGGCAAAGTTGCGATGTTTGCTACCGTCGCCCTGCTTTGGTGTTCAGATTGGGAATCGCCGAATTTTGTAGGTGACATAGCTCGCAGCATAGGGTGGACTGCAGGTTGTCTGTCCCGCGGAGGGTGCACGTTCAGCAGTCGGTGCTGAGACTCGCGTACGATCGATGCCCAGGGAAGTGCGCTGGGGAGAAGCGCAAGGGGCAAATCGAGAGCCGCTCAACTGCTGAAGTGAAGTTGCAGGGTTTGACAGGCACATGTGCATAGGAACACCTCGAAAAAAAGTAGCTCTCTGTGGGTTAGGGTGGCTCGTGCTTTCTTGCGGCGACCACCAGAAAGTGTTTGCAATTTAGTTCTCTGTGGCCCCGTACAAGCTGAGCAGCAATCTAACAGAATCTAGCCTTCAAGCCAAAGAGGGCGTGGTCACACCGTGCAAGGTTAGATATCTGCACAGTGTTGCCGCAATAAGTATGCCATTGCGGTGTATGTTGACAATCAGCACTAATCGTAACGGGCAGTCATGAGGAGCTGCCTTGGCACCAAAGCAGACACGTAATGAAGCCTGGGACCGCAGATTCTTGGCCGTCAGCCTCGACCATCAGTTCAGGTGCCGCAGGTGCCGGGAAGCAGTTCAGAAAAGCACAGCGCCTGGCGATCACCAGATAAGGCCAAGGGTCTGATCTGGTTGGAATTGAAAGCTTTCGAGCCGCAGTAGTCGTCCAGCATGACCACAGTGACGGCCGCCACTGCAGCAACAAATAGTCCTGAAGCAACCCAAGAAGAAACGCAGCATCACCACCATCACCAGAACCAACAAGAAGAAGCAACAAGGACGACGACTGCACCCGCGACAACGACGACGATGCTTCATTTACTTCTTGCAGCGGAAGACATCGACAGTGTTGTCAACAATGAGATCTACAACGGCAGCATCATCGATGGAGACAATATCAGACGATGACAGCAATGGCAACAATTGCACGTCCAGCAGCAGCAGCAGCAGCAGCAACAGCGGTACCCGCAGATCCTCTCATCAGCATTTTCGCCCTCAGTTCTGCAGCCTTCAGTTCTACCGTTTTCTTTCACCATCGCCACCTGCACCATCGGTCAACAACGGCAGCAGATGTGGCTTCGGCTGCACTCTGCAGACAGTGAATGACGTCGACAGCCGTCTGACACCATCGGCCCCACAGTGCCTGCAGACTCTGCAGTGGTATGTCGTGGCTTGGAATTCTGGTGTGAGAAGTCTTTAGTTTAGACTTGATGGCCTGATGCGACGGGCATCAATGGTCTTGGGGTCTCCACGAGCTATCCAGGATGAGGTTCACATAATTCTTGACTGCAGCTATGCCGAGCCCAAATCCTCGCCACCCTGCGGTCCTTGGCGCTGTTCACTTTGATGAAGCTGCAGCCCACCTGACCAGGCCTTCGAAGACATTGCGGAGTGATCTGATTTGGTAGCTTCGGGCCTTCCGTTGATGCTCTTGCGGAACTGTCGCATTCAGCTGAACAGCCTTTGTACATAGGGCAGGAGGCTGGAGGTACGCAAATCCTCAGATAGCACACGCGCTATTTTGTGTCCAGATCAGAAGATGCAGCATGTTGTTTCAATGCTTCGGAGCTTCGAAATTTGGAGTTGTAGAGCCGCTGTATGTACGAATGTATGTCCACGTGCGTGTGTGCCTGTGTGTGTGTGCCATATATATATATACATACACACACATACGTACATACACACGCCCTTTTTCATCGTGCACCGTGATGAGAATAGGATACCAGTCACTACCGGCTTCAGCATCAACGCTGGAAGATGAACAGCAGTCGCATGTCGTCGAAACGCAACAACCACCGCCATGTTTGCACATTCTTTTGCTTTGCGTTACGTAGCTGGCACCTCCCGTGCTCCCTGCCCCTGGCTCATGCAGAGGCTCCTCAGAATCCGGGCTAGGCGTTGCAGATCCAGAAAGATCGTATTTATGGTTTCAGCTTGCTGTGTAGGTTTCATCGACGATCTGTGCCCGCCGAGGAGTAGGGCTGCCAATGCAGAAGACAGCTTCACGTTGGGGGTTGTTTTGATTCAGGGTTTCTTTGGTTCGAGAAGTTTCTTCTGCAAAGAGCTTCCGGCCCACTTTTCAGATGATGCTCCCCCGTGTGCTAATGGTCCCAGAAAATGCAGTGTCCTGCGCTGCACGGTGTGAGCGGTTGAAGGCAGGTTGATGGTTTCGCAAAACAAGGTAGGAATCAAGCCTGCGGATGCTCCTTGAATTGTAAACGGCTGGGTAGAATCGACTCCAACATCCCAGCCACTGCAGTTGCTGCTAGTGCTACCATCACAGCAGCTCGTCGCTTCTGCCAAGTCCGCATTTCCTCTGCTACTGCTGCTGCTGCTTCTAGTACTAGTCCGAGTACTTCTACCACGACTACTAACTACTACTTCTACTACCACCACTACTGCTACTCCCTACCCCGACCCCTACGCCTACGCCTACTCCTGCTCCTACTCCTACTGCGACTCCGACTCCTACTGCTGCTGCTACTCATACTGCTCCTACTCCTACTCCTACTCCTACTTCTACTCCTCCTCCTCCTCCTCCTTCTCCTGCTCCTGTTCCGGCACATGCTCCTGCTCCTGCTCCTGCTACTACTACAGCCGCCGCACCACGATGACGACTACTGCCAGTACTGCTGAGACGACGACAACAACTACTACTACTACTACTACTGCTACTACTACTGCTTCCACTTGCTACTACCACTTGCAGAAACTGCTTCTCTTGCTTCAGCTTCTATTGCAGTCGCTGGTGGAAGCAACTGCGCCAAGGTTCAGGCCCCGATGGACAAAGGAAAAAACGACAACCTGCACATCTGTTCAAGCTATGTTGGCGATGGAACGGCCGCATCTGCTAAAGACACCAGAAAGCCACAGGGCAGCAGTGCGGCAGCAGCTATAGTGACACGGATACAAAGCAGCAGTGATCACCAGCTCAGAATTTCTCGCCCCGTGTCGCACTTATCACCATCAGCTACAACTCAGCATTCTGTGGAACGGGTCCTATGGGATCTTAGGCGAGGGTCAAAGGTATGCGCTTGTACTCAAAATTGCTCGTAGTTTCACGTTTCAAGGGCTCTGCGATTAGGCGAGGCCATGTAGCAAGCAAGCATTCAGTAGGGTCTTAGGATCCCAGGGCGGAGCCATGGGCAACAGCTTCCTTTGCCCGGTGCAGCCACTAGTTCGCAGTGCAGCCTTGCGAGTATACCTTTCAAGCGCTACAACGCTGTCGGACGACTACGTCGCTTAGGGATTAGATTGACCGGGGTTTCCTGTGCTACTGTGACACGAGGTGCTGAACGCAGTGAGCTCAGGAACAAGCATTCACGATGTCGTAGTACACGTACGACGTACGCAAGCCTGTCGCATTCGGTCGGGTAGTTTCATGCGTATATCCCCCATTCTAGGTAAATGAAAGCTGGGGTGGGGGTACCCTGAAACCGGCAAGCTTTCACTTTCACTTTCCCCCTTCAAATTTCAGGGGGGGTCGATAAGTGAAAGTTGGAGTCGGGAACGTGTGATCTTTCACTTGGGAATTCGAGGCAGGCGTGGATATGCATGTTCGCTTGACTGATCGTGCAGGCGCTGGCTCGCGGGGAGCTAGCCACGTATAATGTCACGAAGCATAGACGTAGATTGACGTGCGTGTGGCGCACCGAAGACATGGACATGCAGGCTGTCAGCCGAATATTGGTCCTAGGTCATGCAGAACCTGAGTTGAAGGATTTTAGGTTTCAAGATGTTTCAAGATAGCTGAGTTTGTATTTATCAGCGATGGAAGAGGGTGAGTGCACACTGGAACACCGGCACGGGGATCCGTCCTGGGTGGTCTTTTATCCAGTGCCTCAGTTGCATGATGGATTTCGGCCCTGTCGGTGTGGGGATGGCATGGCAGACAGCAGGAAATTTGTGCGGCAGTCAACCCTACAAGCCAGCAGCGGCAACTTTCCGAGTCGGAGTCCTTGTTCTTTGGGCTTCTTGGGGTGTGAGGGTGCAGAATATTTTGCCAACATAGGGCCTTGGGAATATTGGGGCCATGTTTTGACTTTTGCTCGGCGGCAAGGATCGGAAGAGCCGGGTGGCAGGTGCCAAGGAGGAAGCTCTAGCGCGACACCTGTTGACCGTCTGCCGCGAAAGTGGCAGCCGCGATAATGCAGAGCTGAAGAGGATCTGCAAGGCGAAGAGGCGAGACTGGAAGGTGGCTTGCTTTCAATCATGAGTGTCCAAGCTTCAGCGGGCCGGACTGTGTTTGAGGCTTCAGCGTTGAGCATTTATCGCGGTGCCAAGGTCAAGAACAAGAATGATGCCTCCCGTCGTTTCCAGGATCAGCGGCCCTCCGCCTCACCGCTGCCGTGGACCACGGTGGCTGCAGCTAAGATGGTCAGGTTGCAGCAAGTGACCGGTCATGGATGGGCATGCGCTGGGTTCACCTCCTCTCGGACAGTCGATCCGTTGGGCGTGCTGCTCGCGGAAGTCAGCACCGTCAAGCAGTCCTGGGAGCCAGAAAAACTGGTGGTTCGGCTGAGCGACAGTACGATCAAAGCCATGACTCGCGCCCCAAGTCTGCTGCCCGTCGGCGCCGCATCGGACGAGCCCGCCGCCCCGAAAGCTTTCGCAATCGGAGATTTCGCTCGTTCCGCGGCAGGGCTCAAGAATCTCGATAAGTTACTCCAGGATTTGCCAGCGCAGTACAGAGCCAAGGGAGTGACCTTCCCAGATCCAGTGCAGCACGGAGGCAAGTCCTACACGTGGTCTCACATCGTACTCAGGGCTCCGAGCTACTTCCAGGTGGTTTTGCCAGGCGTCAACCGTGCAGACTGGGGGAAAGGTGTGCATGCGAAGATGCTGCAGCTCCAGGAGAACCTGGAACAGGTCGGTAAATTCTGCAAGGCAGTAGACGAGCTTGCACAGCCGCTCGTCTTTGCAAGCAGCTGACGAGAAGCGAGCGGGGCCGCATCACCAGAAAAAAAAGCCGTTGCCCGCCCGAGGATGCAAGTCGATTTCAAGACGTTCTGCCTCTTGTTTTGGTTTAAGCCTCTCGGGGTAGGGAACTTGGGTGGGTTCCGAGCGACCTGCCAAAATCTGGTTTAGGTTTTTAGGGATAATATTGTTGGGGGAGTTGCCAGCTCCGAACCCAATTGAAGTTTGCTAGGGTTGATTCTACATGCTTCACTAGTACATCCGTAAAACCACTGAGGGGGACCTCCCGAAGTGCAATCTTCACTTTCCTAGGTCCCCCCCCCGAAATCATGGGGGATATGCGTATGGGATTTGGGGATCTGGAGTCTTTGGCACAAGGCATGGCCTGACGTGTCGGTGATCGGTCCAAGCTGCACCTTTCGCGAGGACGGATGTCGATTGGCTTCGGCTGGCTCCGCAAAGCCTCAGCTTCGATTCCCGCTTCGATGTCGATGAGGAGCTGCATGGGGCTTTGCATGTCTAACCGCTTTGCAGCCTTCCGACTTTTCCTATCACTGCAGGCGTGAGAGTCTCAGAGTCCCGAAGAGGGTATCTAGCAGAGCACAGGACACACTAGTCAAGTACTAACAATCTCCACTTTCGCCGTCACCAGAAAGTCGCGGCCTTGATCCGAGAAAGCAAGACGCATCCAAGAGCTGCCCAGAACTCAAAACCCAAGATCTGAACCCTTACGTAAAGTCCCAAACTTCAGCTCCTTAAAGCCAAAAAGCCCTACAGGACAACGTCCTCGGGACGGGCAAGTTCTCGACCGTGTACATGTGCACGTATCGAGATAATCCTGACCAGCGCTATGCTCTGAAGGCTTTCTGACCCAAAGAAGGAGAGGAATGCATGCCACTAGATGCAGGGAAGGCAGTATCAGTAGGCAGTAGGCGCAATTCTCAGTTGCACTGATGCGAAATCCAAAACCTCTTTCGTTGGCAAGGGTGGATGCGGACGCACGTCATAGTCGCACATTCGCGGTTGTATACAGCATGTTTTCGTGCTGCAGAGATCACAAGTCTCTGCCAAATCTGCAAATCAATCACCCGCATGGTGCAGGCGATTTCAACTTACACCGGTGACAAGGCATCGCCGGGCATCATTCCTCCGCTTTAGGTCATAGGTCATAGGCTCTGGACGTACCGACGAGACCTAATTGACTTCCGAAGCCCTACACTTACCATCAAAATTAGAACATGCCGGGTCCCAGAAAGCCCGCAAGCAGAAGAAATCTAGTAACAGAAGCATGAGGTCCGGAAAGCAGAAGGGCTCCCTTCAACACTTCTCCTGAAGGCCTCCTATAGCCGCATCGAGGAGGAGATCGCCATCATGAAGGCCTAAACTGTCAGTGGGAGATTGCTCCTGACCACTCAGCTACGAACTGAAAACTCTGAGCCGTCGGAATTCGGACTCCTTTCGGGGACATCCTCATCGTCTGAGCAGGGGTAAGACATGCACGGTTCTTTCATGGCCTCCAACGAAGTCCAAGTTTGAGGCTGTGTTCAGGGATGGGGTACATTCATGGTGCGGAAGCCTGTGTGAAAACCAACGGCGAGCCGCCCCTGCCAAGCTTCCCTGCTTCTGCATGTGGTCTTGGGTAAGTTCCTTTGCCTTAATCTCTGGCGGCATGTCTCTCCACGCGAAGAAGAGATGCAGACTTCCAATCTGGCTGCCGGCTGCGACATCTGTGTCAACAAAGGCCATCAACCAGCACGCCAGCATCATCCGACTCATCGACATGGACGAGTCCACCCCCAACACCATCCGATTGGCGCGGAGCCAAGCCTTTAGGATATGTTGTGCCTCGTCCCCGGCGTTTTTCACGAAGCTGCCTTTCCCTGGTTTTGAAAGCTGACCCATGCACAGGAGCACAGCCTGCTAGAATCTCAGCCAGTCTTCCATCCCAAGACCTGGCATGCCACCTTCAGTCTCCGAGCCACACCAGGATTTGCACTAATTCCCAAGACCTCATCAACTTCGGTGTCTATTTCAATTTAGTTTTGTCGACCTTGTCAAGTCTTGGAGCTGTTGCAGGTCGAACCGCCATAGTTTCGAAAGGAGTCTGCGCACATCTCATGCCCGCAACCCACATCAGAGACAAGCCAAGAGATGTAGCCCGCGAGAGCACGCGACCGGGCTCCAGTAACCGAGGTCTTGGAGCTTTGCGAAGGCGGCGAGTTGCAGCTTGGCCCATGCAATGCTTTCTTTTCTGCAACCAGTTGATGCAGTTGCTGAAGGCAGATCACTTGGAGCCGATGCATGTTTGGCTTGCCATCTTTAGTCCATGTCCGAGACTTGTTGGCTGCCTCACGACGGCCGCGCACATGGGCTCTCAGGCTCCCGTAGTGTCCGAAGCTTTCTACACGGTCATGGGCGTCTGCCTTTTGTTATGGCCGGATGCCCCTTCCCATAACTTGTCCATCAGTCAGAACATGCCCTCAACTTCGATCTAGTTTCGAGACAAACTTAGGGTTCGGTGTTCACTTATGGCCATGGGATCTAGCTGCCAAAGCTTTTCCATCAACCCCACAAGCTGGTAGCACCATAAACAAAGTTGACATCATCACGTCCAGGTACGATCGCATTCAGCAGAAGCGCTTCTACTCAGCTCGCCAGTCCTGTTTCCCTTTCGGCGGTTGTTTCAGAGATGTGGGTAATTCTGCTTGTCTTCTTTCGATTGGTCATTTTCAGTCTGAGGCACTATATCCGACAGGATTAGCTCAGCCGCTCTGAAGCTTCTTGTATGCGATGAGCTGTTTGGCAGGAAGCGGATACCAAACTGCTGGTGAAGAATCTCTTAGAGGCATGGGCATGCTTGCAAATGTGGGGCTTAGGCTACAGGCTTTAAAAGGTCGTGCTTGAGCCTTGGCTTCTTGCTGCGGTAGACATAGCATGGCTAGTATGCTCGTGGCTGTTGATGAGTTGTTTGCGGGTTTGCTGAAGTCGGTATTTCGAGACCGCGGCTGTCCGGATTGACAGCTGCATGCAGCTTATTCGAAGCCGTTCCACTTCAACAAGACTATCTCATGGATGGTTGGCAGCTCTTGGTTTAAGTTTTGAACCTGACCATCCCTTTCTTCCGCTATTGAGGGCTTCAAGTTTGGATCTCAGACTAAGAAGCTTCGCACCCAGTTATGTGAGGCAGTGGAGTTTATCCACAGCAAGGGCATCATGCACCGGGATCTGAAGCCTGCAGGGTGCCAAGAAGTCAAGTTTGGCTTAAGGCAAAGCTGCTAGACGAGAGTTGTGACAACAACGACAGCCATGCTTGAAACTTCCAAGCGGTGAACGAGTGACGAGAAGTGAAGGGGCATGTCGCTGCGATTCTTGCAGAGTCTCTCTGCCAGCTACAGTAGTAGAGGAAAGGCGCAACTGCGATGCTGCGAACACCACGACTGCAAACAAGACCCCAGGCCTAAGCCCGCGCATTGGCCCTTGGACCCCATTGCAATTCAAAAGCACCACGCCGGCAAGCAAGATAGTTTTGGAAATCCCTTAGATCCTGCAGGCGGGACTCCGAAGCTTGTGCCAGACATGATAGAGCATAGGTACGGGTTTAGTCACGGGGCTCGGGCTTGGCGTGGTAAGCCAGGGGATGATGTCGAGTAAGCTGCATGCACGCAGCGAATCGGCGAAACTTTGCCCAAGACCATTCAATACCCAAGTCAGGCTCTGAATTCTGAGCCACGAGAGTCGAAAGTCCTTTCGGTACCGAGGAGAACATCCTCCTGGTCAGCAAGGCCAGGTTCTCCACGGCATGCGGGTGTACCACTTTCGCCCCGTTCAAGACTCCGCCTTGATGTGGGAGGTCAGCAACACAGACATCAAAGTCTCGGATTTCGGACTCGCGAAGCGCCGCTCCTGGCTTTGTAAATCTGAGTTTGCAGAGAGAGACTCCTGTTCGCAGTCCTCAGATCCTGGGCTCCGAATCCATCCGACAGTCTCCATAGCGCTGTAGGGTCAGGACACGCTCCGCGGCAGGTGTGGCTTGCGGGGTGCTTCTTGTCACTCTTCGTGGGCAGCTGTCGCTTTGTGATCGAATGTTCGGTTTTCTCACTAAAGTTCAGCATGTTTGGAGGCTGGTTAGTTTGGGCGGGTTGCCATGACTTGTGTTGAGTATGAGAAAACTCCAGCTGCTTTCGGTGCCGCAAGTAATGCAAGCCCTGGCTATAGACACAGCATGGGACGAGAAGGGAAGTCGAAATCATCGCAAGCGGCAGATGCTATTGTCAACTCAACGGTTGTACAGGCTTTGCAGTATCAAGTTTTCGAACCAGAGAGTATCAGCATGCACACTGGAAGAAGGTTCGGCACTGCAGGTTTCCAGTGCAACAGCATGGTATCCGTGGCTTACATACGCTTGAAGCGCCCTCTGCTGGCCGAAGATCGTGCACCTGCCCACGAGGTGCGCAAACACATTTCACTGGCTGCATCCATGCTTCAGCCCGAGTTTTTCTCGCTCTGAGGCTTTCTCGGGATTTTCCGCGCCGGCTCCCTCGGTCGGGGGCTCGGTGGCAAAAGTGCTAAGTTTCGGGGCTCTGGGCCGAATCGCATTATTGCTGCGGCTGTGAGCGACATCGACAGAACCGTTGCTTCTGAGGTCGACCTCAATCTGTGGCTCTGATTTCTACCTTGCACCCGAGGTCATCAAGCAGGAGGATTGATTTCGGGAGCAGTAACCTGATACAGAAGCACGGTGTGGGATCGGGGATTATTGGGCTCGGACAGCTTGATTAACAAGCTAGTTGAATGTCCTTTCGTGCAGCTTGAAGCGGTCCCACTCATACTCAATGTGAAGAGTGAAGATATCTCGAGGAGTATGGCCGCGAAATAGACATCTGGGCGGTGGGGGCACCGGGCCTAGCTGACGGCTTCTGCCGGACGCTGTAGAAGCTTCCCAAACAAGTTGCGAGCCCTCTTGGTTTTGGGACGAGGTGATCACGTTCGTGGTCCTCAGTGGCGCGCTGCCCTTCTTCAACCCAGTGCTTCACAAGTTGTCGGGCGCTCAGAAGCGAAACCGTCAGTTTCCATGTGCAGAATCGAGCTGTAATCGGTTTCAGGGAACCAGATCTTGGTTTTCAATTTATCATGTGTGGGGCAGTCAGAGTCAGATATGTGATTGTCTTGAAGCTCATTCCCCGTCAATGTCAATGGTCATATGGTGCATGCCCTGCTGAGTTGTGCTGACACAGTTGCTCATGAAGGAAATGAAAAACCGAAGACTATCATTGCCAGTTTGCTAGGAACGAGTGCCGTTCGAGTTCACTTGCAGACCATCTTGTTTGGGCCTGGATGTGTAGCGCCGTAGCTGCCAAGTCAACTAGAAGCTGAACCACGACCTTCCGGCGTGCCCTCAGTCTGTCGAGGTATCGGCAGATTGTTGAAAGGGACGTCAGCTTCGCCGACGATCGATGGAGAGCAGTATCTGCTGGTGCTCAGGCTTGCGCTGGCTGCATCTGCTTTGTCTTGAAACTGGATGCTGATCCTACGACTGGAGCAGCACTGCTACAAGTAAGGCATGGCTTGGTGGTTTTTGTCATGAATCCCAGAACCACTGCAAGGAATGTATGACGTAGCAGACTGGGCTGTAGGTTGCTCGCTGCTTGTGTGCAGGAATTGCCGAAACTGGCCTTGAAGTATGCAGTGCAGCCGTCCATACCCCGCAGAATCTCGCCTCGAGTCCCATTTAGCTTAGATGGGCTCCTTTGATCCGTCACTGCGCGCCCGGCTCTTCCCACGAGAGCCCTAATCGCTCAGCCTGTGCTCTCGCCGCGGACGAGCCATGGTGTTCAGATGTTGCAGAGCCAAGACTTTGCCATTTCTTTGGAAGATCGGACCAAGGAGGGACTGTTGCAACATGTTGTATCTTGCTCGGGGGGTTCATTGAGCGGTTATGTCCCATTACTCATGCCAGGCCGACCACGGAACCTGACTCACTTGACATGATTCCTCCTCTGAACTCTTCAAATTCCGTTGGTGTTGAGCTAAATCGAAGGCAGCTAAGGCTTTATATCATTGCCCCCAGACGCGATAGGAAGTTTTCCTTTGGCAGGTCGTTCAGAAATCGATGCAGCGTCGATGCTCTTCCCGATGTACACCGTCTCAGTCGAAACGGTGCTTCAGATGACACGGGTAATGCCGCACGAGCATCTCAAAGCCAAAGGCATGGTGGTCGAATTTCACCTGGGCATTGGCAATGCTGCGTTCATCTCTCACCAGTGGGTGAGCAATCAACACCCAGATCCCGACTTCACGCAGTTCCTGGTGTTGCAAGGCGCTTTACGCCGAATGTTGTCTCAATCACACCACTTGCCTATGGACGTGATGACAGAGGTGTATCTTCCGAGAAGGAAGGCCTTCGACACAGCGCAGTTCCGACAGGCCCACCTGTACCTTTGGTACGATTACTTCTCTTGCCCACAGCTAGAGCAGGTAATTTCGCCCACGCCAGCTGCAGGACCGAGCAGCCCCTTGTCCAAGGCTATTGACAGCATCCCGGCATACATTGCACGGTGCAAGTTTTTCTTTGCCCTTTGCCCGGTCGTTGAAAGTTCGAGGAAGGACCAGGTATTTTCACCATTTTCCTGGAGTGAGCGAGGGTGGTGCCGTGTAGAGCGAGCTTTGCGGGAGCTTTCGCCAGATCCGTCTTGGATCATAATCAAGAGCAGCACAGAGTTGGAACTCGTTTCATTTGTGTTGCTGGGACTGGGGAGGGCTGCTGGTCAAGGCCAATTCACGGTGGCTGAGGATCGTGTCAAACTCGGGCCCGTCCTGCAGGGCGCCCTGAGACGCAAGTTAATGCTATTGCTGAAAGCCCAAGATTTCGTGGGATATCGTGTTCTCATGAGCATGCAAAGCATTCATTTACGAGGGTTTCCGCTGGAAGGTAGGTGCGAGTCGCTGGTTCCCGGTCCAGGCCCCGAGGATCATGACAACCACTTGGAGCTGGGAGGCTCCTCGGCAAGATCCGTGCAGCGTTTCCTTCACCAGAACGGCTTCAGAAGCATCCACGAGGTGGATGGCTCCGGATGGGCTCCCGTCCATTACGCTGCCATGCCTGGCGACTCAGATGTGATACATGGCTTGCTGGAGATGCGCGCCGACATCGATCGTTGGACGAAGAAAGATCAGCCACAGTCAGGTATGCTGCTGGGAATGACGCCACTTCAGATCTGCGGATTCTTCAGACACTACTCTGTCATGCGCTTGCTAATCTCTGCGAAAGCGAGGGTGGACTCCGGGCTCCATCCTGACATATCCGTGCAATGCCTCTCGGATGATCCAGTGGGCGTACGCATCCTTTGCAATGCCGGATGCGCACTTTATCGGCGGAATTTTCTGGGAATGGATGCTTTTGACACCGCCAGCAGTGTCGGAGCACTGGCAGCACTGGAGGAGCTGGTCACCCAGGCTGGTCCAGATCTTGCACATGCGGACCTTTCCAAAGCCCTTTGCATGGCCGCGGCGTTTCAGGGAGCTCGCGCAGAGCTTATTCAGAGGTTGCTTGATCTGAGAGCACCGGTAGATGCTGTGGCAGAAAGAGTTGCTATGACGATCCCGGCACGAGTGCTTCTGAGAGCAAAGGCTCTGCAGCATAGGTATGGCAAGGACACTCCGCTCAGCAGGTTTTGCTATCATACAGACGGTCAGACACCGCTGATGGCAGCTATCATGTCAGGGCAATACGAAGGCGCCGCTACTCTAATCGCTTCTGGAGCACGTGTAGACTTGCGCAATTCACGGGGATGGACGGCAGCAGACTTCGCGGCTGGGCATTTACTGCCAGATTTCTTGCGGGAGGCCTTGCAGTGCAAGGATCCACGGACGCCTGTCACAGGGTTGCGGATGCGGCCCTTGAAAATGCAAGTCTTGCCGTGTAGAGCTGTGTACAGCCGCCCAGTTGAAACAAAAATTACATGGTCATACAGGGCCCTGCGTTCGTGACCTAAAACTGAACATCAAAGGAAAAAGCCGCCTAGCCAGAGCCTCGCCGCCTCGCCGCAAGCATCGTATGAAAAGACGTTAACTTTCGACCCTGCTTTGGCCAATCTGCTGGCAAAATGTCCGCCGCATTCCAAGCCACACACATAAGCTTAAGTAAACCACGCACATAAGCCAAACAGACTCTTCCAGCCTGCAAGTAGTGCTCTCACTCCTCAGAACCTCCCTCCGAGGTTTGGGCCTTCGGGCTCCATTTCCACGGTAGGCCGCGCATTCCAATTTTGCAGGATTTCATCCTTCGGCTGCTGCAAGCGCGACCGGGTGATCGGCTCACGGCTGAGCAGGTGCATCCATGGACTGGTCAGAGTGCGTAATTGTTGACGGACTCTGGGTGGGTTATCTAGATCGGCAGCCCCTCTTCCGATGTTCTTGGTATAGCTTGCGAAAGAGTTCCCTTGGTGGCGTCGCTTGAAGAAAGTTCATCATGCAGTTAGTCTTCAGAAGGTATTGTACATGTGAAACAGCGTCAGATTGGCTTGTCCACACGATCATCTACAATCGGCATGGCAAGCCTTGACTTTCGGTGGACTGTTCAGGATTGGCAGTCAGCCCATGGCGCGGCATGGTTCTTCCCAACCCAGAGCATTGATTGCGTGGAAGCTTCACGCAGAAACTTTCCACCGGTGATCCAGTGCCAAGCCCCCCCTCGGCTGCAGCCGCGGCTGTCTAGCATAAAAGTGAGCCCGCCAGGCGGTCTTGCATCCTTGGCTTCGTGGTGCCGCGTCCATGTCGTCCCATCCCCAGCCTGGACAAAAGCCTTCGATAGTATGCTGCGGAGCGATGCTTCCGAGTTGTGACTCACAGATTTGTTGTTCCAAGTCCAGTTGTTTCCATGCCATCCTCTGCTCAAGTGTGCTTGCCTGACATACGCACCTTGGCTTTGCAAATGTGTACGCCAGGTTCATGTTCTTCCATCGGCACAGGTCCTTTTCCACAAGCGAATCGAGCCAGCGTAGCCAGCGCACGGTGCCCCCGAATTACTACAGCCCGGGAGCCCGGCCGCGGGGCTTCACAATCCATGGGACCCTAAGCCTACGGTGCAGCGCCCGAGCCATGACCACACCTGTGATCGGACATAAACTTGAGCTCAGTTTTAGCAGGTTCGAGGTTGCAGGGCAGGATGGGGGTGCGTCGAAGGTTTGTGAAGACTTGTGGGGCCTCAGCCTGTGAAGACTTGTGGGGCCTCAGCCCTGTGAGTGCATGAAGCATATAGTCGGATTCGTTCGTTGCTTGGCAAAGCATGCCGATAGGGTTCATTAGCGGCGGTGGCAGCCGTCGTCGAGCGTGTGTAGTCACAGCTTTGCCAACGGTGGTAGACGCTGCATGGGAGGGTGAGGCCGAGCGCCTAGGCCAACGGGCCCAATCATTTCAAGCTCTCAGTGGCTCTGGTGGCGAAGCCCAGGTTCCGATGCCGTCCAGGCCACGTCCTATCCCTACAAGGTCCCCAGGCCTCCAGGGCTTGGATGAGATTGAACTTGTGCTTCGCGCGCTTCACGAAGTATAGAGGCACAGACATATGGGGGTCGGACTTTGGGAGATGCATCTCGGGCTCAAGGCGCTTATAGTTGCTCCTTCGCGTCTCTGCTCGTTTGTTTACTTATGTTACTTGACTTAAACCTTTGCAGACGTCCATACTCACATAGTGTCTGACTTGCCTGGTTGGCTGCCTGCTGACACGCTGCAATTACAACATGTCTAATAAGGATAAGTAAGTGAACACGTAGCTATAGATATATCTATAGACCTTACATGCCAGACTCATATATATCCTTATCATGTGTACATATATCATATATACATAACGCACATATACATGCATACATACATATTCATGCATACTGTTCTCTCCAGGCCCCCCCTTAGAATGTATAAGAAGGTGGGGTGTGGTGGGGCCACAGATATACATTCCTCTCGTGGTCATCCGCGTTCTGCGTAGACAAATGCAAGCCCTTCCTCCCAAATAAGTCTGGATTTCAATTTCAATTATGTTTTAAAACCGATTCTAATACCTCATTGCGGGTTTTAGGGATTAGCTTCGAGAAGCAATTAAAATCCCCTTCCTCCCAGGTACACGCACAAACGTATTTGCTCAACGTATGTTTGTGTTGGGGCAGGTATGAGGTCGTTCGTGGTCTGCGTGGATTTTTTTCCGGGGATGCGGCAAGATGGAACCGTTTTTGATTTGCAAGCTGTGTTAGCCTTCCTTGGAGCTGAACAACGCCCCCGGGGGGGCACGTCACCTGTAGTCATTTGCCTTTCGTCGAGATCGTTCGTTTTTGGTTTGGAACTCTTGTCAGATGTCCTGGCAATTGGAATTCATGGTGCTTTGGAATGTCATGGACTGCGGCTGAGGTTCTTCGGGAGTCTGATTATTCAATGCAACATCAAAGCTCCCAGGCACAGGTTTTCTCGCTTTGTTTGGACAGCGGTCTGCGGACTCACCATTTTGAAGAATCAGGCCGTGAGTGGCAGTGGGAGGGCAGGTGTGCATTGTCAGAATGATGACAGAGGCACGTGGTTTCGAGCGGCAGCTTAGATCATGAAAGTGTATGCAGGCCTGAAAGGCCTTGAATATATACATGGCTTCCTCTTGCCAATCGAGAGTTTTGAAGTTGCAGGAGTCCATGGCCTCCTTTTGACAAGATTCGTTGGCTTTCGATTACTGCACCTTGAGAGTCCAGTTCAAGCCCTCAACCAACAGCCCGACCGTAAGCGCGAAGGCCAAACGGGGGGATGAGAGTACTACTGGGCATCTTGCAGGCCTCATCCATACCTTCTTAAACCCCCGCGTCCACGAGGGTGCCTCAAGTCACGGAGCCTTGGAAAGCTTTCGCGCTTCTCTTAGGCTTGTAAACCCTAAACCCTAAACCCCTAACCCCTAAACCAAAAACCCTATATTGCAGGAGATCTTGGGGACGCACTGGGTGCATCGGATTCAGCCACTTTGCTCCCCACTTCTGAACTTTCAGCATTTGAGGAGTTCTTATACCATTAACTTCAGTTCAAAATCTACGGCTTGAGCCTGTAAAATTTCACGAATGTAGTAGCATTGCTAATGTTTGAGCCTCCACTTCTTTAGTCGCTGGGGGAGTGGAGCAAATGCCAGAAGTTTGTGGACGGTAAATATTAAAGGCATACGGTTGGGGGTTTGCAGTTTAGGTTCTTAGATGTTGAGGTTTAGATGTAGGGGTGTATGGGTTCGGTTTTGATGATTTTGATGTTCCCGAGCGACGAAGCCCACCTGTTTTCGTATCGCACTTCAGCAACAGTCGTGCGCAGCGTCGGAGGATTTAGGTATGGGAGGTCTTGCTTTGTGACTTGAGTTTCGGATTTTCCCTTGAATACATTCAGCTTAAGCCGTAAGCCTGGGGCCCTTAAGTACATTGTACTTAAGCCTGGGGCCCTTAAGTACATTGTACTTAAGCCTGGGGCCCTTAAGTACATTGTACTTATAAGCCTGGGGCCCTTAAGTACATTGTACTTAAGCCTGGGGCCCTTAAGTGCATTGTACTTAAGCCTGGGGCCCTTAAGTGCATTGTACTTAAGCCTGGGGCCCTTAAGTACATTGTACTTAAGCCTGGGGCCCTTAAGTACATTGTACTTAAGGCTTCCTTGGTCCCCCCCCCCAGAAACGAGGTCCGACGCGCTCGCAAAAGCCTTCAGTCGTGGTTCTTTTGGGGGTCTCCTGGGAGGGGGGGGGGGGTCGAGAGCCTTAAGTACAATGTACTTAAGGGCTCCGGGCTTAAGCTCAATGTATTTACGGGCCTCGAGGCGTTTGGGAAGCTGACCCGGGCCATTGTCTGGTGTGGTGCCAATGGATCCTTCTGGACCGCCTGCGGTATTTCGACTAGCTGTACCAGGTTGTGGGCACAAGAATACGTGCGCGTCCGTATCTGAATTTATGCTATAAAAACCCAGGTGTTGGAGCTGTTCTTACCTGTCCTGGAAGCTGTGTTTCCTCTATTCATGCCTCTGATGTTGCCTCTTTGTCTCTGGTAACAGTAGCGGTGGACCCCGGAGCCTTAACCCTGAGGGTTCAGGACTTGTGGTTGTAAACCCTGGTTCGAAACCCTGAGCTGTACTTCCAATTTCCAATGGGGTTGCCCGGGACTCATTTTGGTCTGGTATCGGATGTTAGGGTAAGTAGAGGTTCTTGGATAGGGGTGTTAGGGTAGAGATTGGGGTCTTAGGGTAGGGGTCCGGCTGGCAGGTAAGGGTCAACGAATCCTTCTGAACCGCCTGCTGTATTTGGGCAGAAGAATACCTGCGAGTCCGTATCGGGAATTGTTCACAAAAACCTAGGTGTTGGAGCTGTTCTTACGTATCTTGGAAGCTGTGTTTCCCCTGTTCCTGCCTCTGATGTTGCCTCTTTGTTTCTGGTAGCAGTAGTGGTGGGCAGGTGTACACCGAGGCCTTAACCCTGAGGCTCTCAGACGTCACTAGTAGTAGTAGTACTAGTACTAGTACTAGTACTAGTACTACTACTAGTACTACTACTACTACTACTACTACTACTACTACTACTACTCAGCGTCTCCAAAGTTCAGGGTTTAAGGGCTCATGAGTATAGGCCTCATGCTTCCAAGCTAGGTGGGTGTTTTCTTCCTTGCCATTGGTTTAGAGGTCTCAGGGCTTCGGCTTCCATTAGCGCTTACAGTGAGGTCTGACAGGGTCTGAAATTTCAGCTTGGGGTGTAGGCCCTGAAAGTGAATCGAAGTTGCAGGGATTTGTCTCCACAAACAAATATTCTGCCAGTCGCGAAAGGCACCGAGCCTGAGCCCTGCAAGGTATATGGTTTGCTTATGGTTTGGGGTTTAGGGGTTTAGGGCTTAGGGTGATTCAGTTACTTTAGGGGGCTTTTGCCCCGAGTGCAGCGGCTCTTGAAAAGGTGCTCCGTTCTCGTCAGGGAGCGAAGGGGTTTGTTGGAGTCTGGACCTTCGCTT